TTATTCCTCTTCCTCCTTTTCCTCTTCCTCCTCTCCTCCATCTCTCCTTTCTCTTCTTCCTCTTTCTCCTCATTCCTCACATCCTCCATCTTCTCTTCCTCTTTTTCTTCTTCCCTTTCCATCCCACTCTTCTTTCCTGTTTTTTTCCTCCTCCGCCATTTGTTCCTGTTGGGAGTTGGAGTCCCTAATAGAAACTTTTCCAAGTTCTTCCTTCAGCTGTACTCATTTATTACAAATGAATTTCTGTATTCTTGGGCCAGAAATTTTAAACTCTGTTCTTTCCTCAAGATTTAGAGGGGGGTATTTTAAATAAAGTTTATTTTTGCTGACTGTAGGAGGCATTTAACATGTTTTGCTTTGCCGTTTGCCACTGTTTGCTCTGGAAAGCGCTGCCAGCCTTGCTCCCTTTTCTGTCAACATCTCAGGAGGGAAAGCACACGGTTAACCAGCTTTTAAGAACCACAACAATAAAGGAAGGAGAGGATCTCCACCTGACCACACAAAGGCAGAAGAAACACAAGTCGTAGCCATCTGAGTGCCTCTGGTGTTGCCGCAAGAAGGTCCTCCATTTTGCATGTGGCAGGGCTCAGGTTGCATTGCAGCAGGTGGTCAGTGGTTTCCTCCTATCCACACTCGCATGTTGTGGATTCGTCTTTGTGGCCCCATTTCTTAAGATTGGCTCTGCATCCCGTGGTGCCAGAGAGCATACTGTTCAGCGCCTTCCAAGTCGCCCAGTTTTCTGTGTGTCCAGGTGGGAGTCTCTCATTTGGTATCAGCCGTTGATTGAGGTTCTGGGTTTGAGCCTGCCACTTTTGGACTCTCGCTTGCTGAGATGTTAGAAAACTATTTCTTGATTTAAGTCATTGACGTGCTGGCTGATACCCAAACAGGGGATGAGCTGGAAATGTCACTGCCTTGGTCCTTTCACTGTTGGTTGCTACTTCCCGGCAGATGTCAGGCGGTGCAATACCGGCTACACAGTGTAATTTCTCCAGTGGTGGAGGACGCAGACACCCCGTGATAATGCGGCATGTCTCATTAAGAGCCACATCCACTGTTTTAGCGTGGGGAGATGTGTTCCACACTGGGCATGCGTACTCAGCAGCAGAGTAGCATAGCGCAAGGGGAGATGTCTTCACTGTGTCTGGTTGTGATCCCCAGGTTGTGCCAGTCAGCTCTCGAATGATATTGTTTCTAGCGCCCACTTTTGCTTTATATTCAGGGCACAGTCCAGAGTAACTCCCAGGTATTTGGGTGTATTGCAATGCTCCAGTGGGATTCCTTCCCAGGTAATCCTCAGAGCTAGGGATGCTTGTCTGTTCTTAAGGTGAAAAGCACATGTCTGTGTTTGAGATGGATTAGGGATCATCTGGTTTTCCATGTAACAGGCAGTAAGAGCACCTAGAGCTTTGGAGAGCTTCTGTTCTACCCTCTCAAAGCTCCCTGACTGAGCAGTAATGGCACGATCATCAGCATAGATGAAACTCTCTGTCCCTTCTGGCAGTAACTGGTCATTTGTGTAAATGTTGAACATGGATGGAGCAAACACGCTTCCCTGAGGCAGGCTGTTCTTCTGTTTACGCCATCTGCTTCTCTGGCCCTGGTACTCAACAAAAAAGCTCCTGTTTTGTAGCAGGTTTCCTATGAGGCGGGTGAGGTGGTAGTCTTTTGTGATCTTATACATTATATAAGTGAACTTATAGCAAGGAAGAATACTGTCCTGCCTCTTTTAGCAAATACCTCCGGATATCGTTCTCTGGTCAATATAAACTGAGAATGAGAAGCTAAGCAGGTCAATCTCTAGCTGTCCTGGTATCTCATTATAAAAAGAATATTGCAACCAAATTCCTTCCCACTGAACGCATCAAGGGCTGCATATCTATAGGTCTAGAAGGCTAAACAATGCTCCCTGCAGGTGACAGTAAGAATAGCAGCCATGTGCCCAAAGGGTAAGGAGAGAGAAAGGTGAAGTTGTGTTGGCTGCTGTTATTTACCATCAAGTTGACGTTGACACGTGATAGTCATTGCAAATAATAATAATAATAATAATAATAATAATAATAAGCAGCATTGCATGGGCAGTTCCTTGACAAAATTGAAGGAAAAGTTGAGGAAGAACTTCCTGACTGTGAGAGCCGTTCAGCGGTGGAACTCTCTGCCCCGGGGCGTGGTGGAGGCTCCTTCGTTGGAAGCTTTTAAACAGAGGCTGGATGGCCATCTGTCAGGGGTGCTTTGAATGCAATATTCCTGCTTCTTGGCAGAATGGCGTTGGACTGGATGGCCCAGGAGGTCTCTTCCAACTCTTTGATTCTATGATAAGGAGAAGACCTGGTGATGGCTCACGAATGGAACCCTGAAGAAGGAGAAGAAGACCTGATTCTTGCAGCCCAGGAGCAAGCCATCAGAACCAATGCAATTAAGGACAGGATCGAAAAATCAGCAGATGACCCCAAATGCAGACTGTGCAAGGAAGCGGATAAACCATGGATCATCTCCTCAGCTGTTGCAAGAAAATCGCACAGATGGACTACAAACAAAGGCACAACTCTGTGGCCCAGATGATTCACTGGAACTTATGTCACAAGTACCACCTGCCAGCAGTAAAGAATTGGTGGGATCATAAACCTGCAAAGGTCATGGAAAATGAACACACAAAAATACTGTGGGACTTTCGAATCCAGACTGACAAAGTTTTTGAACACGATACGCCAGACATCACAATTGTGGAAAAGAAAAGAGTTTGGATTATTGATGTCGCCATTCCAGGTGACAGTTGCATTGAGGAAAAACAGGAAAAACTCAACTGCTATTAGGACACTCACTGGAACACCTCAGCAAGCGAGAGTCCAAACGTGGCAGGCTCAAACCCAGCACCTCAATCCATGGCTGATACCAAATGAGAGACTCCCCCCTGGGCACACAGAAGACTGGGCGACTTGGAAGGCGCTGAACAGACTGCGCTCTGGCACCACGAGATGCAGAGCCAACCTTAAGAAATGGGGCCACAAAGTGGAATCCACGACATGCGAGTGCGGAGAGGAGCAAACCACTGACCACCTGCTGCAATGCACCCTGAGCCCTGCCACATGCACAATGGAGGACCTTCTTGCGGCAACACCAGAGGCACTCCAAGTGGCCAGATACTGGTCAAAGGACATTTAACCAGCTACCAAGTTTGCAAAATCTGTTTTTCTTTGCCCCTGACACGATAAATAAAAATCTTGTTATGTTTCAAATAATAATAATAATAATAATAATTATTATTATTATTATTATTATTATTAACCTTCTGCTATTGGTGTTACAAGACTCACCTACATGCCTTTTGTGAGGCTGGTCCCCTCTCTGCTCTCCTGGTTTGAACACTGGCCTGTGAATCTGGAGAGCAGGGTTCAAATCATCCAAATCCATGGAAATTCACTGGGTGACTTTGGGCAGGTCCCACTTTCTCAACCTCAGAGAAAGGACAAGTACATCTCCTTTGAATAAATCTCAAGAGCAAGTGAGCCACGCGCACAGAGAAGAAACTCCTTCAGATGTTCCAAAGCTAATGTGAAGACACAGTGAAGACATCTGCCCTTGCGCTGTGCTACTCTGCTGCTGAGTACACATGCCCAGAGTGGAACACATCTCACCACACTAAAACAGTGGATGTGGCTCTTAATGAGACATGCCGCATCATCACGGGGTGTCTGCGCCCTACACCACTGGAGAAATTACACTGCTTAGCCAGTATTGCATCACCTGACATCCGCCGGGAAGTGGCAGCCAATAGTGAAAGGACCAAGGCAGTGACATCTCCGGCCCATCCCCTGTTTGGGCATCAGCCAGCACGTCAACGACTTAAATCAAGAAATAGTTTTCTAAGATCTACAGAGACACTCGCTGGAACACCTCAGCAAGCAAGAGTCCAAAAGTGGCAGGCTCAAACCCAGAACCCCAATCAATGGCTGATACCAAATGAGAGACTCCCCCCTGGGCACACAGAAGACGGGGCAACTTGGAAGGCGCTGAACAGACTACGCTCTGGCACCACGAGATGCAGAGCCAACCTTAAGAAATGGGGCCACAAAGTGGAATCCATGAGATGCGTGTGTGGAGAAGAGCAAAGTACAGACCACCTTATGCAATGCAACCTGAGCCCTACCTTATGCACAAGGGAGGACCTCCTTGCGGCAACACCAGAGGCACTCCAAGTAGCCAGATACTGGTCAAAGGACATTTAATCAACTACCAAGCTTGCAAACTTTGTGTTTTGTCTGTTTGTTTTGTTAAAAATGTAATATAAATGTCTGGTTGCTCCTGACACGATAAATACAAATATTGGAGGCATCGAATTGTTGCTGGTTAGAAGCCGCCCTGAGTCCCCCCTCCCCCAGGGGTTGAGAAGGGCGGGGTACAAATATCTGAAATAAATAAATAAATGTTAAGCTCACTTGCCCAACAAGGGCCCAAGCTTGCCCATACGTGCTCTCAGGTGAGAGAGAAGGAGGGTGCACTCTGGTTGATCCCGTGAATGAAGGAGACTGCCAGTCGTGCTGGTCTTTCAATAATCAGTTTTCATTTAATATGAGAAGAAGCAAATCCACGATACAAAATTTAAAAATCAGCCCCAGGGGGGGCTTGAGGGGGTTCCGCCCCCCCCCCCCCCCCCCCGGTTTCCTTCATTTCCACCAAGACAATGAATAAAAATGGGGGAGAAGGAGGAGGAAGGGGACACCAAGGCGTTTGGGGAGAAGGAGGGGGTGCGACCGCCTTCCTCCCGTGCTCCCCACCCCAAGAAAGTGAGGAAGGAAGAAGGGGGTTCTGGCGAAGGCTGTCGTTGTAGTCAACGCCACCTTTTCCTCCTCCTCCTCCTCCCCAACCACAGTTTGGACAGACGCGCACATAAACAAAACACACATGGCCGTAACACGATCCAGTTGCCTCTTAAAAAACGAAAATCACTTGCGATGGGAGAGGGGTGGAGGGAGGGAGGGGGGGAGGCAGGCGGTGCCCAGCCCGGCTGAGCGCTCCAGCATCACTTCTCCTTCTTGTCCAGCTCCGTCTTCCCTTCTTTGGCTTCTGGCGGCGCCTCCTTCGGGGTGGCGTTCTCCTCGTAACTGCGGGGAGACAGAAAAGAAGGGTGGGAGAGGAAGAAGCTTCATTCAAAGTGCTGCAAAAAGCTCAGGGTGGCTCAGGGGCAGGATGTTGTTGCCTCACATCAGCCTACCTACTACTTGGACGAGAAGCCCAAATGATTAAAAGGAGGCCACTCTAATTCGGAAATAGCATGAGATGAGAAGAATCACAGCAAAAGATGATAATGTCAAGGGGAAAAGGGAAAGCTGTAAGGGAAAAGGGGGGAAATCACATTGCAGGTGGATTGAGCCCATGCCAGACTGTCACTAACAGGGCTATGAGTTGTTGAAGGCTTTCATGGCCAGAATCACTGGGATGCTGAAGCTCTCCGAAGCTGTAGGTGCTCTAACTGCCTATTACAGGGGAAACCAGCTGATCCCTAATCCATCTAAAACACAGACATGTGCCTTTCACCTTAAGAACAGACAAGCATCCTGAGCTCTGAGGATTATTACCTGGGAAGGAATCCCACTGGAGCATTGCAGCGCACCCAAATACCTGGGAGTCACTCTGGACCGTTCTCTGACCTACAAGAAGCACTGCCTGAACATCAAGCAAAAAGTGGGTGCTAGAAACAATATCATACAAAAGCTGACTGGCACAACCTGGGGATCACAACCAGATACAGTGAAGACATCTGCCTTTGCGCTATGCTACTCTGCTGCTGAGTACGCATGCCCAGTGTGGAACACATCTCACCACACTAAAACAGTGGATGTGGCCCTTAATGAGACGTGCCGCATTATCACGGTGTGTCTGCGCCCTACACCACTGGAGAAATTACACTGCTTAGCCAATATTGCACCACCTGACATCCACCGGGAAGTAGCAGCCAATAGTGAAAGGACCAAGGCAGAGACATCTCCAGCTCATCCCTTGTTTGGGTATCAGCCAGCATGTCAACGACTTAAATCAATAAATAGTTTTCTTAGATCTACAGAGACACTCGCTGGAACACCTCAGCAAGCGAGAGTCCAAAAGTGGCAGGCTCAAACCCAGCACCTCAATCCATGGGTGATACCAGATGAGAGACTCCCTCCTGGGCACACAGAGGACTGGGCGACTTGGAAGGCGCTGAACAGACTGCACTCTGGCACCACGAGATGCAGAGCCAATCTTAAGAAATGGGGCTACAAAGTGGAATCCACGACATGCGAGTGTGGAGAAGAGCAAACCACTGACCACCTGCTGCAATGCAACCTGAGCCCTGCCACATGCACAATGGAGGACCTTCTTGCGGCAACACCAGAGGCACTCCAAGTGGCCAGATACTGGTCAAAGGACATTTAATCAGCTACCAAGTTTGCAAAATTTGTGTTTTTTTTTATCTGTTTGTTTGTTTTGTTCTGTTAGAAATGTAATACAATGTTCTGGTTTAGGATGACACGATAAATAAAATCATTGGTGCTTTTTTTGGGACTGTATGGCCATGTTCCAGAAGCATTCTGTAACGAAACATCAGGAAAGAATGCTTCTGGGACATGGCCATATGTAAAGAAGCGTATGCGATATCAATCTCGCCACTGGCACCAATTATAGAGAAGTGCGAAATTATATCTTATTATAAATCCCACAACTGAACACCCCTGTAAAGGATTGTATGTAATATACCACTACTGGACAACAGTATGGTAGCGAGTTGATGTTAGATAGAATGTGTCATGGTAGAGTGAACACTGCTTCAGTCTTCTTTTGGTTTAATGCTGCCACCAACCCAAGATGTCTTAGAATTTTTCAAATGAGTTTTTGAGTTAAACTTTTCCCTTCTCTGCCAACACAGCTCTCCCCTTAGCTCCCAAAATGACAGTTTGGATAAGAGACCTTTCTGTGGTATTAGGATGTTAAAGATACTAGAATTATCACAAAGGATTACTGATAGATTGAGGAACGATAGAGACCTTTTTGAAAGTTAAATAGAAAAAGATAAAAAACAACAACAGACAACTAACTTCTTCTTCTGAGAGGCAAAAAACGCTTGACTTGTTACAAAAGTACAATAGCTTGCTGGTTGCTTGAAAAGAGTTTCTTCACTAAGTTACATACAGAACTAATTAAACAGATCTAGCTGCTGGTTACAAAAATCTCTTACTCTACTTCAGAGAAACAGCAATGAGTTTCTGACTAACCTATCCTAGGCAGTCCCCTGAGTTATCAGCTAACTCTCCCAGAGTTCTTACTGCTAACTAACTCAGTCTAGAGAGCTAATCCCTTGTGCTATCTCACACAAGAAATCAGGTTGCTGCCTGACCTTTCCTGTCAGCTAATCAGCCCTCCCTGACACAGACGTTCTCTCTCTGAAAACACAGTTTCCAAAAACACTTCACAGGTTGCTGTGGCCAACCTCCTCTTCTTTTCTTTCCTCCCCTTTTTCCTTTTTTCTCTGTCCTTCCTTCTTTCTATACCCCTTTCCTTCCTTCTCTCTCCCCCCCCCCTTTCTTTCCCTTTTTCTTTCTCTCCCTTCTTCTTTCTCTACCTATTCTTGGACTGCAACTCCCAGCAGCCCCCTGATTGATCTATCTACCTACTATTTATCTCTGTCTAACCTATCTATCTTATCTATCTGGAGGATTGCTGGGAGTTGCAGTCCAGAAAAAGGAAACTGGAAATATGCAGGGAATTAGGATGCTTTCAAAGAAATCCCAGGAGAAGAAAGCTTGCAGCTTGGAAGCAGTGCATTTGGGTCATCCTCCTCTCCTAAAAAGGCCTGGTTTTAGAGGATGCAGGGAGCTGTCATTTTCACGCCTGTGCTGTATTGTCATTTTGTTTTTGTTTTTTTTGGGGGGGGGGGTTTAAAGTCCTTTCTACTGATTTTGGGGGGGGTTGTTATGATTTTGATTATTTTAAGTTACAGTTATATGTTATTGTTTTTGATATGTAATGTATTGTTTTTATTAGTATGTGAGGCATTCAATTTTTGCCAATTATTATGCTGTACACTGCTTTGAGTCCCCCTAGGGGTGAGAAAAGCGGTATAGAAATGCAGTAAATAAATAAATAAATAAATAAATAAATAATTATGAGTGACGGTCACTTGTTGGTCTGTTAGGAGTGTAGTGTCCAAATTTCGTGTCAATTCGTCCAGTGGTTTTTGAGTTACGTTAATCCCACAAACAAACATTACATTTTTATTTATATAGATATATCACCTGTAATGAGACATGCCGCATTATCACGGAGTGTCTGCGCCCTACACCACTGGATAAATTACACTGCTTAGCCGGTATTGCACCACCTGACATCCGCCGGGAAGTAGCAGCAAATAGTGAAAGGACCAAGGCAGAGACATCTCCAGCTCATCCCCTGTTTGGGTATCAGCCAGCACGTCAACGACTTAAATCTAGAAATAGTTTTCTAAGATCGACAGAGACACTCGCTGGAACACCTCAGCAAGCGAGAGTCCAAAAGTGGCAGGCTCAAACCCAGAACCTCAACCAATGGCTGATACCAAATGAGAGACTCCCCCCTGGGCACACAGAAGACTGGGCGACTTGGAAGGCACTGAACAGACTGTGCTCTGGCACCACGAGATGCAGAGCCAACCTCAAGAAATGGGGCCACAAAGTGGAATCCACGACATGCGAGTGTGGAGAAGAGCAAACCACTGACCACCTGCTGCAATGCAACCTGAGCCCTGACACATGCACAATGGAGGTCCTCCTTGAGGCAACACCAGAGGCACTCCAAGTGGCCAGATACTGGTCAAAGGACATTTAATCAACTACCAAACTCGCAAATTTTGTATTTTGTTTGTTTGTTTTGCTCTGTTAGAAATGTAATACAAATGACTGGTTGCCCTGACATGACAAATAAATAAATAAACCTGTAATAATAAGAGTTTTCACCTTCTTCGGACTACCAGAGCATCTTACGTATTTTATCTCCTATTTCCTACCATATGCTCACTGGCTACACCAGGCATGGGCAAACTTGGACCGCCCAGGTGTTTTGTACTTCAAGTCCCATAGTTGAAGTCCAACTGTTAGGAATTGTGGGAGCTGAAATCCAAAACACCTGGAGGGTCCAAGTTTGCCCAGGCCTGGGCGACAATCCGCTCAGCTCTGGATACCCCCAATATCCCTACACTCCCCGTCCTAGGGCCTTAGGCTCGGCTCTCTCCCTACCTGGCCAGAGACACACAGGTGGGCAGGGAGGGCCTGGCCCCAAAGGGCTACATGGCGCTGGGGTTTTGCTGCCGGCGTCTGTGGGAAGAAGAGGAGGAGCATGTCTGCTGCATGGAGTCAGCCAGGCTGGACGGAGACCCGGAGACGCTAGGGAAATGGGTGAGCCGAGGGGTATGGGGCAAGATTTCGGCAGAAGACTCATAGCTGCAGGAGAGAGAGACACACACACAGAGACAGGATGGAGAGGTGAGAAAGGAGGAGGAGGAGGAGGGAAAGCAGAAAAGAAAGGCTACAGAGTGGTGGCACCCAAGTGGCAGAGAGCACCTGATAGCGATGGATGAAATTATGCTAGCCAAACTCTCTAGAAGCAAGGGTTTTGTGCCATTTTCAGCTGGCATTTGCACATCCCAAACGTTTCGGGAAATCTTTCTTTACAGTACAATTCCAGGTGGTTTGCTGCAAAAGTTGTGGATTATTCCCTCCCACAAAACACCCTGCAGGGTTTACATGCAAACAGAGATCAAATATGTTTCTGGAAAGTGTTTTTTCAGAGCAAAATTGTGCAAGTGGGTTGCACAAACATTGCGTCTTTTGGGGAGTTGAAGTCCAAAACACCTGGAGGGAGAGCCCAAGTTTGCCCATGCCTGTTTTAGAAGCATGGCCAAATGGTTTGGAAGCCAAGCCCTATGAGGAGCTGCTTAGGAAGATGGGTATGTTTACCCCAGAGAAAGAAGGCTGAGAGGAAACATGTGAACCGTGTTTCAATAACTGAAAGGCTGTCACATTGAGGGGTCAAGCTTACTATCTGTTGCTCTGGAAACTAGGACACAAGGGAGCATTGGTTCAAACTGAAGGAAAAGATATTCCACCTAAACATTAGGAAAGACTTCCTGATGGTCAGAACTGGTTAGAGCTGTTTGACAGTGGAATATACTGCTTAGGAATCTGATGGATCCCTCTTCTCAGGAGGGTTTTAAGCAGAGGATAGATGGCCATCTGTCAAGGGTGTTTTGATGGTGCGTTTGTACACAGCAGGGAGTTAGAGTGGTTGGCCTTCAAGGTCTCTTCCAACTCTAAGGCCAGAAACATGCCCTCATAGGGCTAAACGTAGGGAAACCCCACCTCCCCTCTTCCAGGTGAAGGTCAGGGCACCTGCGAGGTGCGAGGCGCCTTGTCATCTCCTGTCATTGCTCCCAGGAAGCGGCTGCACATCAAAGCCTCCTGGATGGGAGCCGAAGGACGCTGCGCAACACCTGCCGGGATTCCTGGGGTGGGGGATCTTCCGCTTCGTCTGCGTGAGCCGCTTTGATCTATGCAACCCCCGTCCCCACTTGCCTTTCCCTTTCTCTACACTTTCAAGGTGCCCGTTTTGGAAATGGGAGAACGACATTGCAATTCACCTCTCTATGGAACATATCCATAGCAGCAGCCATAGTTTCTACATCAGCCATAATTTCTACATCAGAGAGAGAAGCAGGATTTGGAAATGACCTGACATGTTCTAAGTGTTAGTAGAGTTAATACCCTGTCCTAGCCACCTGTAAAAGATTTAAGCCATTGTAATGAGGGTGTAGTGGTTAATGCAATGGGGGTTGTATATAGGTTGTAGTCATACTGAGTAAATTGGATGAGGGTTGATGATGGTTTGGAGTGTGTGTTGGAGAATCACTGCTGTGGGTAGTGAGGAAGAAGAAGCAGATGTAAAGTTTGTATATTTTGTATATTGCTGCAGCTTGGGGGTCCTCCTGGATTCATCGCTGAGCCTGCAATCCCAGGTTGCAGCAGTGGCCAGGGGAGCGTTCGCACAATTAAAACTTGTGCACCAGCTGTGCCTGTACTTTGGAAAGTCAGACTTGGCCACGCTCTCGTTACATCTAGGATAGACTACTGCAACGCATTCTATGTGGGGTTGCCCTTGAAGACTGCTCGGAAGCTTCAAATAGTCCAACGAGAGGCAGCCAGGTTAATAACTGGGGCGGCATACAGGGAGCATACAATTCCTGTGTTACGCCAGCATCACTGGCTGCCAGTTTGCTACCGGGCACAATTCAAAGTGCTGGCTTTGGCCTATAAATCCCTAAACGGCCCCGGCCCAAATTTCCTGTCTGAATGCATCTCCCCCTATGTACCATCGCGGCGATTAAGATCCGCCGGGGAGGCCCTGCTTTCCATCCTGCCATTGTCACAGGTGCGATTGGTGGGGACGAGAGACAGGGCCTTCTCGGTGATGGCTCCCCGGCTATGGAAGTCCCTTTCTGGTGAGATCAGGTTGGCTCCCTCCCTCCTGTCCTTTAGAAGGAAGGTCAAAATTGGCTGTGGGACGAAGCTTTCGGGACAGGACAATAAAGCGGCAATAGGAAAGATGATCAGGCCAATTACACTTGACGCGGATGACTAGGACGGTTTTAAATGGTGTATTTTAATATTTTGATAAATGTTTTTTAATGTTTATGTATATGTATGTAAATTTGTGTCCTGGCATTGAATGTTTGCCGTGTATATGCTGTGCTCTGCCCTGAGTCCCCTTCGGGGGAGAAGGGCGGAATATAAATGTTTTAAATAAATAAATAAATAAATAAATAAATAAATAAATAAATAAATAAATAAGCAAGCCTTCCTGCTCATTTGGGAAAGAACAAAACTCTTATGTTTTGTTGTTCAAGTAGGGCCAGGCTTTAGCACAGCTGGTTAATCATTATCAGCGACAGATCTTTCCCAATCAAAAGGATGGCAGCTTGAGCCCGGGTCGGGGTGAGCACCTGATCTTCAGCTTAGCTTACTGTCCACCTAAGTCGTTAAAAAACAGTTGTAAGCTGTGAGTAGAGAAATTAGGCACCACTTAAGTGGGGAGGTATTTTACGGCATCTTTAAAAAAAGCTGGTGATCAAAAAACAGGAGGAAAGTCTGTGATCAAAAAGCTCTTCATCATAGAGGATGGAGTGACAGCACCCTCCTGTGGCCAGAATTGAGCATACCCTCCAAGACGCCGAAGTTGGAAAAATGCTGACAAATACCTCTACCTGTCTGTCTGACCTGTATGTCTAACGGTACTGAATATTTCCCTTTGGGGTGAGAAGGACGGAATATAAATGCTGTAAACAAACAAACAAAAGACCACAACAAGTATGTTTCTGGATACTTTAAGTGGACCTAGTAAGAGTCACTTCCACAAGAACAGGAGTTCTACGACTGCACAGAACCCCTGACAATTTTGACACCAGCCAAGATTACAGAATCAGCAGGCAGACCCATGCATCATCAAACGTTAGGTAGCCATGGAAGCAGCCTGAAGTCTGGAAGACAGGCCTCTTGCAATCTGGGACCCTCCTAGTGAGCTGGATGTTGACACCCAGAATGGCCCAGCCAGCTTTGCTACTACTATGCATCCCAGCATGCCTCATGGGACCCGGGGGAGGGGGGTGGAGGATATAATAACAACAACAACAACAACAACAACAACAACAACAACAACAACAACAATAATAATAATAATAATGTATTGTTGAAAGCTTTCATGGCCAGAGTTGTAAGTTTTTTGGGCTGTATGGCCATGTTCTAGAGGCATTCTCTCCTGACGTCCTCACAACCTCTGAGGATGCTTGTCATAGATGCAGGTGAAACGTCAGGAGAGAATGCCTCTAGAACATGGCCATATAGCCCAAAAAAACCTACAACAAGCCAATAATAATACTTTATTTCTATTCCGCCCTATCTCGCTGAAGGGACTCAGGGCAGATTCCAGTATACACAGACACAAGGGAGAACATTCAATGCTTAGAAACAACCATAACACAGATAAAGGAAAGCTCTGGGGAGTGGTACTCATCTCCATTTCTAAGCTGAAAAGCCAGCATTGTCCATAGATACCTCCAAGGTCATTTGGCTAGCATGACTGCATGGAGCACTATGAACTTCTTGCCGAAGCAGTTCCTTTGGATCTACTCACATTTGTATGTTTTCGAACTGCTTGGTTGGCAGAAGCTGGGCCTAACAGTGGAAGTTCACCCCGTCCTGTGGATTTGAACTGCCAACCTTCTGGTCAGCAACTTCAGCAGCTCAGAGGTTTAACCCATTGCACCACCGTGGTCTCACGGATATAATAATAATAATAATAATAATAATAATAATAATAATAATAATATTTTATTTATACCCCGCCACCATCTTCCCAAGGGACTCGGGGCGGCTTACATGAGGCCAAGCCCAACAACACATCAATAAAACAGGAAAGCAATAAACAAAACAATACAATACAAATTAATATAAATCACATATAAACAATAACACACAAGGATTTAAAAACCTATAGCCGAGCCAAATGTAATAGTTTAAAATTTAAAAAATAAATGCTGGGCATGAACAACGTAGGATATATCTAGTAGGAGGGTTTTAAAGAAGTGAGGGGAGCGCAGTCCAACACAATCCAATAGTTAAAGTGCATTCTGAGGACATATTGCTGGGAATTATAGCTCACTTGGAAGGCTATTGCAGCTATCTGGCTGTTAGGAATTGTGGGAGTTGAAGTACAAAACACCTTGAGGGCCTGAGTTTGCCCATGTCTGGTCCTAGAGGCATGCTTCCTTGGGAAGGAACTGAGGAAAGCCTGGCCCATCCTCACTTCTCCAGCTCTTGAAAGCAGGAGAGATCTCAGTTATTCCTTCCAGATTCCAACAGAAAGGATCCACCTGCTGTCCCTGTTTGCAATGGTGTTGTTTACCAAGGATTTGTGTGTACACTTGAGGAGGCTGGGAGCTCTCACCTGAACATCTCTGCCACTTCTCCCTTCACCAGAGCCACGAGGAGGGGGAAGCCGATGCAGGCCGGGACCAGGTACAGCAGGGCTGGCTGCAAGGGAGACATTAGGAGGAGAGGCGTTAGGGAAAGAGTGGGATGCAAAGCAGATGGGAAATCTGTCATGACGTGGAAACAGTAATGGTAGTAACATACCTGTAGCATTGTTGGCCCTGATTTTTTAAAAAGCTTAAAAACTGTACATTGTGCATTACAAATATGAAGGAGAGCCCTAGTAAGAAGGTACATACTTGGACTATGTAACACCTCTTGGACTGGAGATGTCCATGGGATATTACATACTGCCACAAAGTGCATGTCACTGCAAAATCTAATTGGCTTACATAGTAAGTACTGACAGCCCTCTTTATTTACAAACTAGCCGTCCCCTGCTATGCGTTGCTGTGGCCCAGTCTGTGTATATGTGTTTTTTGTGCATGTGTATATGTGTATATCTATGTCTGTTTGCATAAATGTACTGTATATACTCGAGTATAAGCCTAGTTTTTCAGCCCCTTTTTTAGGCTGAAAAATCTCCCCTCGGCTTATACTTGAGTCAATGTAATTTACTATTTTACTCTGTTATTAGTATTATTTTTATTGCATTTATTATTTTACTCTATTCATTATTATTATTACATTCATTATTTCACCCTTTATTTTATTATAACATTTATTATTTTACTCTATTTATTATTGTTGTTATTACATTATTTTACTCTTTATTGTTATTACAACATTTATTATTTTACTCTCTTATTACTGTTATTACATTTCCATTATTTTATTCTATTATTATTTTTATTACATTTATTATTTTACTCCGTTTATTATTATTGGAAGGCTATGTAAGCACATTTACATTGAAGAAGGTGAGAATAATGGTTTAATCAGAGTTGGACAGCTTTATCTTAAATTACAATTTTATGTAAATATTTTTGAATAATTACTCTACTGATGCCTCAATTAATGTAATTTTATTGGTATCTATTTATATTTTGGAACTTACCAGTAGCTGCTGCATTTCTCGCCCTTGGCTTATAGTCGAGTCAATCCATTTTCCCAGTTTTTGTGGTAAAATTAGGTGCCTCAGCTTATATTCGGGCCGGCTTATACTCGAGTATATATGTATGTGGTTTTGCACATGCATTGTAATGTATTTTTATTTTTTGGATTTTTAATCTCGTCTGCTGTGTTTTCAGTGTTTTTATGAGTGATGGTCACTCATTGGCCTGATAAGTGTATTGTGTCTAAATTTGGTGTCAATGTTTATTTATATAGATTCTGCATCCCCAGGTTCAACTATTTATGGTTCAAAAATACTTTTAATAAATACAAAAGGCATTAACATTAAGACCAGAGATTCAAAGCATTAAAAGCAGAAAGTCCACGCTATGGAGTTGGACTACACAGCTTCATGTTGCTTCCCTGATTTGAACCTGTGACCTTCCGGTCAGCAAGTTTAGCAGCTCAGCAGTTTACTTACTTACTTAGGCGATCCCTCGCTTTCCGAGGATGATTGTCTTCCAGTGTTCTTGTGGGTCCGTATGTGGCTGTGGAGCCCTATTCTTGCTCTGCATCTTCTTCCGCAGTGAGGGCATTGGTTTCCAGGTGGAAGGCGGTCTCGGTCGGGGTTGGCTTGACGCCCCTTCCTCTTGGCACGCTTCTCTCTTTATCTATTCGTGCCTCTTCAAATTCTACAGCACTGCTGGTCACAGCTGACCACCAGCTAGGGCGCTAAAGGGCTTCCCAGTTCTTGGTGTCTATGCCACAGTTTTTTAGGTTGGCTTTGAGCCCATCTTTAAATCTCTTTTCCTGTCCACCAACATTCCATTTTCCGTTCTTGAGTTCGGAGTAGAGCAACTGCTTTGGGAGACGGTCGAGCATCCAGACAACGTGGCCGGTCCAGCGGAGTTGATGGCGGAAGACCTTTGCTTCAATGCTGGTGGTGTTTGCTTCTTCCAGCATGCTGACGTTTGTCCTCCTGTCTTCCCAAGAGATTTACAGGATTTTCCGGAGGCAGCACTGATGGAATCATTCCAGGAGTTGCATGTGACGTCTGTAGACAGTCCACGTCTCGCAGGCATATAGCAGGGTTGGGAGGACAATAGCTCTATAAACAAGCACCTTGGTATCCCTACGGATGTCCCGGTCCTCAAACACTCTGCTTCATTCGGAAAAATGCTGCGCTCGCAGAGCTCAGGCGGTGTTGTATTTCGGTGTCGATGTTGACTTTGGTGGAGAGGTGGCTGCCAAGGGAGCGGAAATGGTCAACATTTTCTAATGTTACACCATTAAGCTGTATCTCTGGCATTGGAGAGGGGCTGGTTGGTGTCTGCTGGAACAGCACCTTGGTTTTTTCAATGTTCAATGACAGGCCGAGCTTCTCATATGCTTCTGCGAAGGTGTTTAGAGTGGCTTGTAGATCTTCTTCTGAATGCGCACAGACGACGTTGTCATCAGAATACTGGAGTTCTATAACAGAAGCTGTTGTAACCTTGGTTTTGGTTGTAACCTTGGCTTTCAGTCTGCTGAGGTTAAACAGCTTGCCATCTGTCCGATAGATGATTTCCACTCCGGTGAGAAGCTTCCCATCAACAAGGTGAAGTATCATAGCAATGAAGATGGAGAATAGAGTTGGGGCAATAACACATCCCTGTTTGACACCGGATTCCACTTTAAAGTGGAATCAGCAGTTTAACCCACTGCACCAAAACAAGGGAACAAAACAAGCATACAATTCAAACAGGATGCACACAAAGGCAGCTCACCTGGGCGTGTTTAAAGACGTGCATGATGAAGATAGTGAGGCCGAGACCGAAAATGTAAGCCACAAAGCTGGTGTAGAAGTATGTGTGTGTGTTCTTCTTGAGGCTGCAGCAAGGGATGAAACAGAAGAGAAGGGGTGTTTATGGAACTCTATAGAGGCCTGCATCGGTGGATCTACCCACCCATAAACGCCACAAGGGACCCCATAAGCCAGTGGTTCTCAACCTTCATAATGCTGCAACCCCTTAATACAGTTCCTCATGTTGTGGTGACCCCCAACCATAACATTATTTTCATTGCTACTTCACAATTGTCATTTTGCTATTGTTATGAATCATCATGTAAATATCTGATATGTGGGATGTATTTTCATTCACTGGACCAAATTTGGCACAAATATCCATTATGGCCAAATTTGAATACTGGTGGGATGGCGGGGGAAGGGGGGCATTGATTTTGTCATTTGGGAGTTGTAGTTGCTGGAATTTATAATTAATCTACAATCAAAGAGCATTATGAACTCCACCAACGATGGAACTGAACCAAACCTGACACACAGAATTCCAATGACCAACAGAAAATACTATAAAGGTCTGGTGGGCATTGACCTTGAATTTGGGAGTTGTAGCTCACCAACATCCAGAGAGCACTGTGGACTCAAACAAGGATGGATCCGGACCAAATGTGGCACGAATACTCAGTATGCCCAAATGTGGACACTCATGAAGTTCAGGGAAAATAGACCTTGACATTTGGGAGTTGGAGTTGCTTGGATGTATAGTTCACATACAATCAAAGAGAATTCTGAACCCTACCAATGATAGAATGGGGCCAAACTTCCCACACAGAACCCCCATGACAAAAAGAAAATATGTGTTTTCTGATGGTCTATGGCGACCCCTCACAGCCCCCATGCGACCCCAGCAGGGGTCGCGACCCCCAGGTTGAGAAACACTGCCATAAGCAGAGGAAATCCTCATAGAATTTTGATCTCCTTTCCCAAGCTGGGTTCCCTACCATTGGATGATATAGAATAGCAAACCACTGAAGGACATACCTGATATCAAAGCGCAGCAGCAAAGCAATGAAGATTCCTGCAGGTGAGAGGCAGAAATACTGCGTTAGGACAACAGGAGGAATGTGGGAACAGGATTTCTAACTTAGCAATTGACTAAAGTTCTCAGAAGGTGACAGCACCCTCTCGTGGCTGATAAAAAACTGTGGGGCTGTGCAATGGACATTTTTGCAAGGGACATGGAGGAAGAGATAAAAGCATTCCTCTTTCTCCAACATATCCTCCTACTCCCAGATTTCATTTTATCTCAGAAGCTAAGTAGAGTCAGCCTTGTGGATCATATGCTTTTTGTATTATTGATATTGTTGATGTTTTTGATGATGATGTTTTTGGTTATTGCTAGATTGATATTTTAGATTGTGTCTTGAATTTTGAACCTTGTTTTTTCTATGTTGTACACCGCTGTGAGTCGCCCCCGGGCTGAGAACAGCGGTATATAAGCAAAGTAAATAAATAAATAAATAAGGGGAAATTATGGTAGATGAAGTTATTATTATTATTATTAGTTTGTCAAAAATATTTAAAATTAACTAGGAATTTTTGGTTACAAAAATGTGCGTCAGGCACTGAAAGGGTTTAATGGATGCAGTGATTCAGAGAAGCTGCGGTTCAATATAAGCAGGTATGCCTGTTGCTTAGTAACGCCTCAGTCTGAGAGAGCTCTCAGTGTGAGAGAAGCCTCTCAGTGTGAGAGATCACCTCAGTGGGAGAAAGGTCTCAGTCTGTGAGGTAGGCTTTGGTCTATGAGAAGGCCAAGTGTGAGAAGGCCTGGTGTGAGAAGCTTCAGTGAGAGAAGCCCCAGGTTGTAAAGCCTTGTGTGTGAAGGTCCAGTGTATAAAGACTGCTGTGTGTATAAAGCTACTGTGTGAAGCTCCAGTATAAGTTTGTTGTGAGGGGAGGTTCTGTGAGAGCAAAGCTGTTTATCTACATAGGAAAGAAGCCCAGTATGGAAGCAATGAAGGAAGTATAAAGAACTTTATCTGTGTTATAGAAACGTTGTTCGTGTAAATAATGCAACCATATTATTTTACTACAAAGAAAATGTTCTGTGTTTTAATGCTCTGATTTTATATTGTTTGTTCTTGTTGTGGCTGAGATGTTCTCTGATGATGAGGATGATGGGATTCAGATTCCTGGCTCTTTTTCTGTGCCTCAGATTTCTGGGCCTGCTTCTAGGTCTTTTTCTGAGGCTCCCACAGACAGTGCAGAGTCAACACAGCAGTTCTCAGAAGAAAAGAATGTTAACGAAGTAGATACCGAACAGGTGGAGAGGCTTTTGCCTTCCCATGCTGATAGTGAAAGTGCAGAAAGCCTTGATAGTGACCTGAGCCGGCAAGCCCGTCTTGATTTGCGGGTCAGGAGGAGTTCTTGCCTAGCTGGCAGACAAGAAGCCAGCTCAGGGAAAGGTCATCACAATGCTTTCATGTTGGTGAGAGCATAATGTTTTCATGTTAGAAAGGTATTTAGGCTTCTTGCAAACGAAGAGAAAGTGTCAGTTCAACATAGCTTGTTAGCCTGAAAGCTTCATGGAATAACCTTAGCTGGAAAGCAGCACACTTTGGATTTCTTGACTTTGTGATTTTTGGGGCAATTGTTTTACTGCTTGTACCATGGACTCTGTTTTGAACTTTGCCTATAGGATTGTGCCGCTTGTTTTTACCTGAAGATCTTTGGAACTATATTCTGCATTTAACCTTAATCTTTGGAACTTTGCAATACTTATTCTTTATTTTGACTTGGACTTTTTCCTCAATAAACTATAAAACTACAGCTCTTGTGTGGTGGTGTTTGGAAGCAAGGCGAAGCTTACTCTGAGTTGCAACAGTTCTGTTTATTTATATTGGTTTTCATATTTTAATTTATTATTTTATTTTCTGTTGTGTTCTTGTGTTATATTGTTTTACTGTATTTCTGGGCTTGGCCTCATGTAAGCCACCCCGAGTCCCCTTGGGGAGATGGTGGCAGGGTATAAATAAAGTTGTTGTTGTTGTTACTATTATTAGCCTCCTACGGAAGAGATAACATTGGTCTGTGTGTCTTTGTACTTTTTATCACTTTGGGCTATTGGTGCTGGGTCACGCTGCTGCAAATAAGTTACTACGCTGTGCATTTATAAGGAGGGTCTTTTGTTAATAAGCCCACTAGCCCAACAAGGGTTATGGGCCCAATATAGCCCAGTACAGACCAGTAGAGACCATACTGAGGCTGGAGAAATATGATAATGGCATTTCAAGCAAGTGGACTGACTTTTGAAAGGTTGAATGCCAGCAATTATGCCACATGGTCAGTTAAAATGACAATTTATGGGAAGTAGTGGAGAATCCCCCAGACAAAGAAGAAGGAGAAGATGATGACAAATTGAGGACAGATCAGCGTGCAGATCAGCTTTGGAATTAGGGCTATCAGAATGAAAACTGTAGGCAATTGTTCTAGAATTGCTTAGAATAGTTTCAGCAGGTGTTGCTTGTTACCTGGCTGTATGACAAGCACAGAAACCACCAAGAAGGCGTGCCACCCCCCTTCCTCCCCTTTACCTGGGATCACAATGTCGCCCAGACCTAGCATGGCAAAGTTGTTAGCCTCCAAGCCTTTCTCTAGCAGATCCTGAGGGAAAACCACTGCAAAAAAGGAGGAAAACAAAAGGCATGGGTGAATTTTGAATTATCAACGCAGAGAGGCTGCTGCCTTCAAATGTCAGGGCTTAATGAGATTTTTCCCACACTCTCCAATGCTTTGTCGCATTTCACGCCGAGACAAAATGAGCCAGAGTGAATCCTGCCGCGAGATCTAACAGCCACTTCTCCAGTCCAAACCAGTTCCCGCAAAAGTACAAATGAATCATGCAGTTGTCCTAAATGTGAGAAGAACAGAAGGCAGGCAAAATCCCTTGGTATCAAGCGGCACAACCCAAGACCCCTTTGATGCCGGCACCATAAGGACATTGCTCAAGCCTCCCATAATGAGGGAAACAGACAAAGCGTTGGCTGACTCATAAAGCATGAAATGCTCAATATACGAAGGTTAAAATTAGCACTGTGGAATGGGCCTGGAAACATACTCGAAGAAACCCAGGGCAGTGGGTACAACGCTTGCCACAAAACTGGCCAAACAGGATCTTGCGTCCTTTTTTTATGCCTTGACAAGGAGCAAATATTCTGTCCCAACTAATACTGCAGAGACAAGGAATACGTGGCCTCCAGAGATACAGGGTGGAAAATTTCTCAATGCTTATTTTTTTACAAAAGAACGTTTTCCACAATGTATATTTATCCACATTTATCCATAGCTGTCTAAACCTGAGGTCCTCAAACTAAGGCCCGAGGCCGGATACGGCCCTCCAAGGTCATTTACCCGGCCCTCGCTCAGGGTCAACCTGTCTGAAACAACTTGAAAGTACGCAACAACAACAACAACAACCCTATCTCATCAGCCAAAAGCAGGCCCACACTTCCCATTGAAATCCTAATTAATATTTACTAAAATTGTTCTTCATTTTATTTATTGTATTGTTTTAAAGTGTTTTTGGCACTACAAATAAGATATGTGCAGTCTGCACAGGAATTCATGTTTTTTTTTTTCAAATTATAATCCGACCCTCCAACAGTTTGAGGGACTGTGACCTGGCCCTCTGTTTAAAAAGTTTGAGGACCCCTGGTCTAAACTCTTACACCACGATCAATTATGCTACATGGCCTAAACATAGGAGAGGAACTCCTAAACATTTGTCTAAAGAACCACACATTGACATCCCTGATACTCACAGTAACAAACTAAGCAGTGGCCAGTATATTTATTTTTATTTATCTTGTCAGAAGTAAATTGAGAATACAGTGATAATGTATTTTAAAAAACTACAAACGAAGTTAAAAACTTGGCATTACACTAAATTTTCTTTGACCAGTAGCTGGCCACTTGGAGTGCATTCTGCTGTCACTGTGAGAAAGTCCTCCAATGCGCATGTGGCAGGGATCAGACTGCATTGTAATAAATGGTCTGTGGTTTGCTCTTCTCCACACTCGCATGTCATGAACTCCACTTTGTGGCCCTATTTCTTAAGGTTGGCTCTGCATCTCGTGGTGCCAGAGCGCAGTCTGTTCAGCACCTTCCAAGTTGCCCAGTCTTCTGTGTACCCAGGAGGGAGGCCCTCATCCACTCTCAGCTACTGATTGAGGTTCCAGGTTTTTAGCCTGCCACTTTTGGACTCTTGCTTGCTGAGGTGTTCTTGCACGTATCTTAGGAAGCTGTTTCTTGATTTAAGTCATTGGCATGCTGTATGATATCTGAACAGGGGATGGGCCAGAGATGTCATTGCCTTGATCCTTTCATTAATGGCTGCTACTTCACGATGGATGTCAGGTGGTGTAATACTGGCTAAACAGTGTAATTTCTCCAGCACTGTTGGGCGCAGACTTCCTGTGATAATGCGGCATGTCTCATTAAGAGCCACATCCACTGTTTTAGCATGGTGAGATGTGTTCCACACTGGGCATGCATACTCAGCAGCAGAGTCACAAAGTGCAAGGGCAGATGTCTTCAATGTGTCTGGTTGTGACCCCCAGGTTGTGCCAGTCAGCTTTCATACAATATTGTTTCTAGCACTCACTTTTTGCTTGATATTCAAGCAGTGGTTCTTTTTTTCTATAATATTTTTTTCTCTATTCTCTCCTTTTTAATTTTTTTCCCTTTTTTATTTAATACATCCCAACAATCAACAACAACAAAAAAGCAGTGCTTCTTGTAGGTCAGAGCACGGTTCAGGGTAACTCTCGGGTATTTGGGTGTGCTGCAATGCTCCAGTGGGATTCCTTCCCAGGTAATCCTCAGAGCTCGAGATGCTTGTTATGGAAACAGCTTATTATGAAGCGCCACTCCCTTTTAAGTAAGTAGCCTAAAAATATAATGTTCTTTCAGGTGTTAGGTGTAGCCATTATTTGGACTAGCCATATGCAACAGGACACCCCACTTTCTGCCATTGCTGTGCAATTCTGGAAGGGAAAAGACTGGCTACATATGAACCACAATCCCTCCATTTCTACAACAAGTCTTAAAGCAGCAGAGCAGACTATTTCACAGCTCTGTTTACTGAAAAAGATTATCCGTTGCTTAGAGTTGATAAAGCCATTTGCTCACAGTGCTGCTGACACTCACAGTGCTGCTGAGATTTTTTCCTGGGTTATAAAGGTTATTTCTTAATTGGTTCTATCATAAAAACATGGAAAATGTTTATTAAACTGCAAAAAGTTTGTTTTTGTGGGAGGGACATCATCCTGCAGCACATTTTGCTCTAGTTTCTCAATGAATATGTCATCGAGTCACAACGAATTCAACAAAAACCAAGAACAACTATTTTTAAAGTAGTTAAATAATTAAATAGAAAAAACCACTTTCAAATCAGGAACATTTTTTCATATTTTGTTATGTAGTGCTATTGGAGGTTTAAGTCAGCTACTCACGTTTGATGGGAGCCTCAAACGACTTTGCAACGGTCACCATCACGTTGGTGCCAAAGACCTAGGAAGGAAGAGAGAAGCATGAAAAAAAGAGCAACACTGGTAGAAAAACACCCCCCTCCCCCCCCAAGCACACACAGCCAACCCATGGAAAATCTACACATCTCTCACTTTTGGTTGTTCTGTACCTTAGGAGTTTTCTAGAGTTTTCCTGGCAAGAAAACTCAGAGAGTGGGGTGATATCTAAAAACTCATCACATACGAAAATTGAAGATGCTAAAAAGCTATGAATACTGATTAACATTACTACAAAAACAAGGTAATTGGGGAAAACGTGAGTAAGTCCTGCACTGGGGGTAAAATGGTATCTCTAAAAATTTTCAAGGACCTCCAGGCAATTCTAGGACACACTTATCGTTTATTTATTGTTTTCTTTATCTTATTTGTACCCTGTCATTCTCAACCCTGTAGGGGACTCAGAGCGGCCTTCTCGGTGATTGCCCCCCAGCTACGGAACTCCTTTCCTGGTGAGATCAGATTGTCCCCCATCCTTCAGAAGGATGGTAAAAACTTGGCTGTGGGACCAAGTTTCGGGACAGTGCAATAAGGCAGCGATTGGAAACTTTACTTTACCAGGCCAATTTAGATTTGACACAAATGACCAATGGTGTATTTTAATATTTTGATAAATGTTTTTAATGTTTATGCATATGCATATGAATTCTGAACCCCACCAATGATGGA